TTTGATGTGTGTCTTGTTAGGAGGCACAGGTTTCAATTAACAGTGGTTGTTATTTTTATTGTTGGTGTAGGGAGTGAGTGCAAAGTTCAGTAACGCTGCAGAGTGGGGCAAAAAGGCATAATCAAAAACACATTATGTGCTCAGGACACCCCCAAAGAGCTCTCTGCAGCCTCTGAGATGCTCCTTTGAAGTGCAGTCACTGTTGTAATGCAGGAAATTTGGCACTCAGTCTCTACACAGCAAGCTCCCACAAAAAAAGACAATGTTATTATGACTTGATCATGATGTTATTTTAGGGTAAAGTAATGGTCAGGACACTGGGAAGTTCTTCCTGCTCCTCTACAAAATGATAACCTGGGATCTTTTACATACATCGAAAGGCTTGGTGGGACCTCAGCTAACATTGCATGCAAAAAAGCAACATCACAAGCTCAGTGCAGGCCTTAGCTACCCATTCAAGCCTCTAGACTGCGCTTTATATCTACATCCTTCTCACTGAAAGGTAGGAATCCTACCAACTCAGCCCTAAGACCTTGTGGGAAGGAGTTCAGATTGGACTGAAAGGTAACTAGTGATGCTATACCAAAGCTGAGTGCATTGCTTTGCGTGGATTTGAGCAGTAAATACCAAAGAAGTCAATGGCCCAGTGGTATTATTGCTACACAATTAATCCAGAGACCCAGGTTATGTGCTGGGGGCCTGGGAGTGGAGGAATTTGAATTCAATAAAAAAAAATCTGGAATTGTGAGTCTAATGACAAAAAGTGCTGGGAAAACCCCATCTGATGCACTAATGTCCTTTAGGGAAGGAAATCTGCCATCCTTACCTGGTCTGGCCTCCATGTGACTCCAGACCCATAGCAACGTGATTGGCTCTTGACTGCCCAATGGGCAATAAATGGAGTCTTTGCTAGTAAATGTGAATGAATTAAAAAAATCTCATTATGCTGAGATAGCTGACCTCATCCTGAACAACAGCAGGAAGTGTTAGAAAAGACTGGAGGGTCAAGGGCGGCAGGAGATAAAGGAACACAACCTTTTGATTAATTGCTGACTGAAAGTTCCTCATGGACCATGTGTATGTCAACGTTGGGTTTGGACAAAATTGGGTCATCCACGTCAAAATAGCCTCCCAATATTTACTGATTGTGTGCACCAATCTTGTCACTGAAGTCATCAAGATTCTCCCAAGCGTAGTTTAGGACAGTCACAATGGTAGGCAAACCATGCATCACTTGAATCAGTACAAAAGGTTCAAGGTATGGGCAAGTACCTTGTTGCTGGACTGCCATCAATGTATTACTTATCCACAGTCCTTCAAATACTTGTAAGAAACATGAGAATTCGCAGTTTAAAACATGCCATTCAGACCACACCTTCCACAATCTTTGTTGATCTACTGTTTCAAGAACTCTATTTTAATCTCCTCAGGGAAAACTCTATGCAAATATTCACTGACTCTCCAAAACTGCTGGGTTACTTCCGGGTGCTCTGGTTTCCTCCCACAGTCCAAAGATGTGGAGGTTTAGGTGAATTGGCCGTGCTAAATTGCTGAACAGTGTCCAGGGATGGAGAGATTAAGTGGATTAGTCACGGCAAAGGTGGGTTTATGGGGATAGGGCGCAGTTGAGGAGTCTGGCTGGGATGCTTTTGGTCAGGGGGTGGGTGGGTCAGTGAAGACTCAGTAGGCCAAATGGCCTCTTTCTGTACTGTAGGGATTCTATGATGATTCTATGAACTACACAGCAAGGTCTCCACTCCAAGCCTGCTGTATTCCAGCCATTATTCCCTTACACCTGGTTTTTGTCCCAAAACCACTGGCACTATTGTGGCCTAAAGTATTTGATCATCTCAGTCTATCAAGTACCCTATTAAGCACCACCAATTTCATTCACAGTTATTTTGTACAGTGATAACATGACAGGTTTTTGCTCCTCTACTATGTCTTCCTCTTCTCACTCTCCTGGGGGAAAGGGTGATGTAGCTAGCCGATATCTCATTACCTGGCATTTCACATGGATGAGTGAAGGAGGAAGTGCCCACAAGTTATAAAGGGTGAGATAACACAGTGTGGAGCTGGAGGAACACAGCAGGCCAGGCAGCATCAGAGGAGCAGGAAAGCTGACTTTTCAGGTCGGGATCCTTCTTCAGAAAATATAAAGGGTTACATTGCCATGAGCAACTGGTTGGCAATGGAGATATGGACACCTCAGCCAATTTTAATACCTTCCGACCAAGTCAGCACAGTTCAACAGTTCAGTCTGAAAAGGACAGCATGAGATCATTGAGGGCAAGGTTTACCTTAGCTTTGTGACTTTCGCTGTCTCATCCAAAAAGTGTTTGCTCAACCTTTCAGCTGAACACATGACCGTGAGGAGGTGTGTTTCATCAAGAGGCTCACCACTCGTGCACAACTGGGGTTTGTGCAACTGCGATAACGGTGACATGCAGCTCTTCTTTCCTGGTCACTTTCCTTCATGGAAAGGCACATGCATGAACATGATCATTAGAGGGCTTGACAGGGGGCAGATGCAAAAAAGTTGTTTCCTCTTTTGGGAAAGTCTGGCACCTCAGAGCACACTTCAGAATAAGGGGTTGATCATTTAAGATGGAGTTGAGGAGGAATTTCTTCTCTCAGAGGGTAATGAACTAGTGGAATTCTTCACCACAGAGGGCTGTAGAAGTTGATTATTATGTATATACAAATACATACTACATACATGTTACATAAGGCTGATATAGACAAGTTTTATCAGTAACGGAATCGAGAGTTACAGGGAAAAAGGCAGGAAAGTTTAATTTAGGAAAGTGGGGTTGAGAATTATCAGATCGGCCATGAATTAGTCAATGGCAGAGCAGAGTCAATGGACTGAATAGCCTGCTTTTGCTCATGTCTTTCTGGTCTTGTGGATGTGCGCAGAAGATGATTTATTCATCTGGGTGGCTATCCCTTGAGACGAGCTGGCCTTGTCCTGCTCTCTAACTCCAGAGCTGCAAATGGCCTTATAATGTCACAGGGCTGGGAGAATCTCAGCCAATGAAAAACTCACGTTGGTGAAGGATCATCAGTCTCGGCTGTAATGCCTCATGCTGTTAAATAGTAGGCTGGTACACCTCGCCCCATCCACCTTCCTGCAAAAATGCCATCCCCTATTCCCAATTCCTTCGCCTCCGCCACATCTGCTCCCAGGATGAGGCATTCCACTCCCGTACATCTCAGATGTCCTCGTTTTTCAAGGACCGCAACTTCCCCGCCTCAGTGGTCGAGAACACCCTCCACCGTGTCTCCCGCATTTCCTGCAACTCATCCCTCACACCTCGTCACCGCAATAACAACCAAAAAAGAATCCCCCTCGTCCTCACGTACCACCCCACCAACCTCCAGATCCAACGCATCATCCTCCGACACTTCCGCCATCTGCAATCCGACCCCACTACCAAAGACATTTTTCCCTCCCCACCCTTATCTGCTTTCCAGAGGGACCACTCTCTCCGTGACTCCCTTGTCCGCTCCACACTCCCCTCCAGCCCCACCACACCTTACACTTTTCCCTCCAACCACAGGAAGTGCTACACCTGCCCCCACACCTCCTCCCTCACCCCCATCCCAGGCCCCAAGAAGACTTTCCACATCAAGCAGATGGTCACCTGCACATCTGCCAATGTGGTATACTGCATCCGCTGTACCTGTTGTGGCCTCCTCTACATCAGGGAAACCAAGCGGAGGCTTGGGGACCACTTTGCAGAACACCTACGCTCGGCTCGCAATAAACAACTGCACCTCCCAGTCGCAAACCATTTCAACTCCCCCTCCCATTCCTCAGACGACATGTCCATCCTGGGCCTCCTGCAGTGCCACAATGATGCCACCCGAAGGTTGCAGGAACAGCAACTCATATTCAGCTTGGGAACCCTGCAGCCCAATGGTATCAATGTGGATTTCACAAGCTTCAAAATCTCCCCTCCCCCTACCGCATCCCAAAACCAGCCCAGGTCATCCCTGCCTCCCTAACCTGTTCTTTCTCCCACCTATCCCCTCCTCCTACCTCAAGCCGCACCCCCATTTCCTACCTACTAACCTCATCCCGCCCCCTTGACCTGTCCGTCCTCCCTGGACTGACCTATCTCCTCCCTACCTCCCCACCTGCACTCACCTTTACTGGCTCCATCCCCGCCTCTTTGATCTGTCTGTTTCCTCTCCACCTATCTTCTCCTCTATCCATCTTCTATCCACCTCCCCCTCTCTCCCTATTTATTTCAGAACCCCCTTCCCCTCCCCCATTTCTGAAGAAGGGTCCAAGCCCGAAACGTCAGCCTTCCTGCTCCTCTGATGCTGCTTGGCCTATTGTGTTCATCCAGCTCTGCACCTTGTTGTCTCAGATTCTCCAGCATCTGCAGTTCCTACTATCTCTGGTTTAAAGAATAACCTTATGTGAGAGATACCGAAGGATAACTGCAAGAGGAAATTTAAAAGGGTAAAAGTGGGGCTGCATGATAGCTCAACTGTTAGCACTGCTGCCTCACAGTGTTTGGGGCCTGGGTTTGAAACCAGCCTCGGGTGACTGTCTGCGTGGAGTTTGCATGTTCTCCCTGTGTCTGTGTGGGTTTCCTTTGGGTGCTCTGGTTCTATCCAACAGTCCAGAAATGTGAAGGTTAGGAGGATTGGCCATGCTAAATTGCCCCATACTGTGCAGGCTGGGTGGGGTTGCCATGGGAAATGCAGGGTTACAGGGATAGGGTGGGACACTCTTTGAAGAGTTGGTGTGGGGTCAATGGGCCAAATGGCCTGCTTCCACACTGCAGGCTTTCTATGCTACTAAGTGGAAAAGCAGGAAATCTGAAAATGTTTTGTGTTTCCTGCTTGCCTGAAAGAAATTCTATCAACTGGGGAAACAAAAAATTGCAGTGTGCATTAGGACCTAGTGGAATCCTGCCAAGCCATGACTTGGCTGTAAATAGAGCAGATTTATTACACATAACACAGTCTACTGGGATCACTGAGATAACAAGGTGTAGAACTGGGTGAACACAGCAGGCCAAGCAGCATCAGAGGAGCAGGAAAGCTGACGTTTCGGGAAAGAGAGAGATGCACTTTAAAGTGCCCAGAATGTCTCCATTACTTGCCCACCTTGTTGCTGTCCCTCAGTGTACCCTGGACTGAGACAAAGTCTTAGGGACTAGTTTTGATCACTTTAGAGTAGGGTGGGGACCCACCAGAAGTCAGCTCCACTTGTCCGATGTTGCATCTGTGCCCGCTGAGTGAGTCGCTGCTGATCAGTAACTCCCGGTCCGCCTGCGACACCGACCTGCTGTGCAGGGAACGGGTGACTTTCTGTATCAACGTATCGAAGCAGCAGCCGTTCCCGGCGCTGAAGATCAGCGGCATGCGGGTGCCGGTCTTTGACGAGCCGGCCGAGAATCTCTACAAGTACTTCGACCGGTGCGCGGACGCGATCGAAGACGCGGGCAAGCAGGGAGGCAGGACCCTGGTCTACTGCAAGAACGGCCGGAGCCGCTCAGCGGCGATCTGCACCGCTTACTTCATGAAGCACCGCTCCCTCTCCCTGCAGGAGGCGTTCGGGGTGAGTCTCATACACAGATGCAAACTCTCACTCGCATCTCCACTGCTGTGGTTGCAATGCAAACATAAAACAAAGGAGGTGGGGTGGGGAGGCGACCCCATCAGACAGTGCAACAGGAGGCCCATCGTGCGAGAAGATATCCCATCAGTTATCCCCTCCCCCCGCCATCGTTTTCTTTTACCCAAAAAGTTATCCAGTTCCCCTCTGTGCTATAAGACAGAGCCTAACATAGAACTTTCTGAAGAAGGGTCCAGACCCGAAACCTCAGCCTTCCTGCTCCTCTGATGCTGCTTGGTCCCTGCTGTGTTCATCCAGCTCTACACCTTGTTGTCTCAGATTCTCCAGCATCGGCAGTTCCAACTATCTCTGCTGGAAAAGCTCAGCAGGTCTGGCAGCATCTGCGGAGGAGAAAACAGAGTTAACGTTTCGGGTCCGGTGACCCTTCCTAAGAACACTTTTCCAGCAACTTTGTTTTTCTTCCTGATTTACAGCATCCGCAGTTCTTTTGGTTTCTATTTAGTGCCTAACATAGAATCCCTGCAGTGTGGAACAAGCCATTCAGCCCATCGAGACCACACCGACCCTCCGAAGAGCATCCCACCCAGACCCAGCCCTGCATTTCCCATGGCTAACCCATCTAGCCTGCGCACTCTGGGGCAATTTAGCGTGGCCGATCCACCTAAATTGGACTGTGGGAGGAAACCAGAGCACCCGGCGGAAACCCACGCAGACACGGGGAGAACGTGCAAACTCAACACAGGCGGTCGCCCGAGGCTGGAATTGACCCCAGATCTCTGGTGCTATGAGGCAGCAGTGCTGGCCACCGTGCCACCCATCACATTGGCACCCACTGCCCTTTTGGACTTGCACATTCCAGTTGAGAGTTTAACTGAGGCTTTCAAGAGGGCATTGGATGGTTATTTGGACACCAGTGGGGTTCAAAGTTATGGGCAACAGTCAGGTGATTGGCACAAGGCAGTCGAACTGATGTTGGTTAAACCCCAGTCGGCCAGACCAACAGCTTTTCTTCAATTCCTGACACCAGCTGAGGTTATCATGAGGGATTCTCCTTTCCAACATCTCCCCTTCATCCAAGGCATGGTGACCCTTGAGTTAAGCCACCACCGGTCGACTCTCTCTAATGAGAGAGCAGCCCTGTGATCCAGTAAGACTGTGGCAACCAGGAACAGTGCTGGCCGAATGGCCTCCTTTGGCACCATAACGCTCTGTGAGAACAGTCAAATGTTTTCTCCACTGAGTCTTTACCGATTAAAACATAAGATTTTACCATGGAAAAGTCCTCTGTTCGCTGCCTTCCTGCCACAGTCATGCCCTACCTACTTTACCAAAGCCCCTCATGATTCTAAACATCTCTATTAAATCTCCCCTTAAATGTCTCTGCTGTAAGGAGAAGAATGCCAACCTCCCCTGATAACTGAAAGCCCGTCTCTGGTACTATGCGTGTAAGCCCACTCTGCACCCTTTACATGACCTTGACCTCCTGAGTCACACTGATCAGAGTGGGACAAAGCTTCAGTTGAGGCCGAGTTAGTGACTGAGAAGGTCCAGCTAAATTTCTCTTTACTTTTTCATGAGATTGCGTGTGAGGCCGGAATTTGGGTGCCCATCCCTAAGTGCACTGGGTGAATGGTTTTCTAGGGTATTTCAGAAGGCAGTTAAGAATTAACCACATTGCTGTGGACCTGGAGTCACATGTATGCTAGATCAGGTAAGACAAGTAGATTTCCTTTCTTAAAGGACACAATTAAACCAGACGAGTTGTTTTTACAGCAATCAATGATTGTGATCGTTATTACGAGGACCAGTTTTGGAAGGTGATCACAGTCGCTTTACCACTAGGGCAACATCTCTCCTCTTTGTTTTTCTGTTCCTAGGACGTGGTCCAATGGATGCTAACAGATGTCCAAGTGAGCACTCACAGGCTACTCAAACATGGTGGGTAACACAGCTCAGCCTAACTCAGACTTTGCTTGTTGTTCACACACAAATTCTCTCCAGGTTCACACACTGGATGATAATCAGAAGTGAGAAGGCAACTCTTCCACCCCAGCCCGGGACATAGCGGGGAGTAGGGTGGTGGAGGATTGGTGGGATCTTATTGCCAGTGGCTTAGATCAGATGCTTCGGAATGAGTGAGGGAATTGAAACTGGCACCTCCTGGTGTGAGGCTTGGCATGTTTTTATATTCATTCATAGGATTTGTGCATCACTGGCTAGGTCAGCATTCATTGCCCAACCCTAATTACACAGAGGGCAGTTGACAGTCAACCACATTTCTGGGGGTTTGGTGTCACATGTAGGCCAGACCAAGCAATTTCCTTCCCTAAAGGACATTAGTGAACCAGATGGGTTTTTCCTAAACAATCAATTCATGGTCATCATTAGACTTTTAATTCTAGACTTTCATTGAATTCAAATTCAATTACTTTCCATGGCAGGATTTGAACCCAGGTCCCCAGAACATTGCCTAGGTCTCCAGATTAATAGTCTAGCAATAATACTACAAAGCCATCACCTCCCCTCACCATCACCATCAAGGGCCCAAACATACCTTCTAGGTGAAGCAGCACTTCACCTGCGCTTCCCACAATCTAGTCTACTACATTCGCTGTTCACAATGTGGTCTCCTCTACGTTGAGGAAATAAAGCATAGTCTGGTGACCACTTCACAGAACATCTATGCTCTGTTCGCAAAAACGAGCCCGAGCTTCCAGTTGCCTGCCACTTTAACACACCACCCTGTTCCTCTGGCCAATATCTCAGTCTCAGGCTTGCTGCAGTGTTCCAGTGAAGCTCAGTGCAAGCTGGAAGAACAACACCTCATTTTCCACTTGGGGACCCTGCAGCCCTCCAGGCTCAATATCAAGTTGAACAATTTTAGGGCCTGAACTTTCCCATGTCCTAGCCAGCTACGCCACACACCAGGCCTGCCATTACATACAACCTATCATTAGCCACTAACAGTCACCATTAACAGCTATTCACCATCCCAGCCAGATCGTTTTCAACTCCTTGGTCTGTCCAACATTCTTCTGTCTGGGCTTTATCCCCACCTTACTCCCCTCCTCTCACCCTATCTTCCACATATAAACCAACACTTTCCTAGCTACCATCAGTTCTGAGGAATGGTCGCTGGATCTGAAATGTTAACTCTGATTTCTCTTCACAGATGCTGCCAGACCTGCTGAGCTTTTCCAGCAACTTCTGTTTTTGTTCCCGATTTACAGCATCTGCAGTTCTTCCGGTTTTTACCATCACTGTGGACTCTGGCTTGCTGTAGGGTGGATGTGTTAGCGTTGCACCAAAACAAACCTGGGGCACAGTGAGCCCTTGCATTTTGAAATTTGATGGGCGAGTCAGTGATAAAAGACTTTGACAGGGTAGATACAGAGGAACAATTTCCTCTGACGGTGGGGGGAGGTGGGGGGCGTCCAGAACGAGAAGCCATGACCTTGACAGCAGGACTGAGCTATTTAGAAGGGAGAGCCGGAAACATTCTTCCATATAGAGGCAGAAATCTGGCACACAGCCTGGTGACTGAGTTTGGCAGTGTTTTGTTGTGGATCAGAAGATATGACGTTGCACTGGCTAAAGGGAGGTGGGATGCAGGCTGGTCATAAACTAATAGAATGGTGGAGCAGACCATAGAGGCTGAGTGGCCTACCTCCTGTCCTTATCACTGAACAGCCTAGCAATAGCTACTGCCTGTCCCTCATTAGGGAATGACTACAGCTTGGAAGGGACAATGTCAAGTGTAATGCAATGCCAGCTGTGAGTCAGCACTTAACTGGTACAGATGAACAGGAAATTAGAGAGAAATAATAAACTGCTGTGCCTGCTGTGAAACCTAGCCCATGACATTATTGGGATGGTTTCTACAGCAACAGAGCCAGGCAGCCCTAGTTTCACTCCAGTATAATGCAAACGCACAGCTGCACTTTATCCCTTCAGAGTTCAATGTGGTTGTACGTGATGTTCTCAGTAGATGTAACATTACTGACCAAATTGCTTTTAGGGAAATCAATAAGAAAGGATGTGAGCAATCAGACAGAGGGTCTTCAGTTAGTCCCATTAGCTAAATTAAATTGCTTCAAAGGTTCGGTTCAACCTTTTCTTACTGCTGATTTATTTTAGTACCGCTGTTTGAAACTGTATTGCTATCAATATTTCCAGAGTGATTAACGCAGGTTAGTCTGTTGTTTGACACTTGGGATAAAATCCATCACCATGTTTAGTGGCTGCACACCAGTGTACGATGAGGTAACACAGGCAGGAGTTCTACCTGCTCGATCTGAACTGCATGCTCTCTACCTACAAAATGTGGCTCTGTAGCTCTTCTCTGTTGCACAAGTGCCACTTGTCTGCCAAATGGTACCCATAACGTCTGCACCTCTGATGCAAAGCATGCCTGTGCCGTTTGGTGAGAGCATTATGAAAGGAAATTTGTGCCAAAAGTCTGCAGGGTAGACAAAGTGTGATGTTAATCAGTCAGAGTTTGCATAGCAGCAAGCTGACCTTGCTCGACTTTGCTCAGAGCTTCTACTTCTTTCACTCAAACTTGGAGAGGCACATCAATTCCTTTCCAGCCCCACTTCCCCACTGCTCACAGGACATTTTACATTTAACCAGGATGACGATATGACTGATTATATTGGTCTCAGACTTTGACTGGTTTCGTATTAGAAATGAGTCAGCCAGGTTTCTTTAGTCATGAAAGAAGAGCACGTTTATTACAAATGTATCTTATCCAAACAAACATGCAAAGATTATTGATAAGCAAAAAGGGTTTAGGTTGTGCAAAAATAGACAGGATTTATACTCTAACATCCTGAACTTAACATGATGCAAGGATGGATGGTAACGGGCAAATGATGGTTAAGCAATTCCACAGAACACATCAATAATGAATTCGAGCAAACAGATCCCACAGATTTCTCAGCAATTTTCCCCTTCCCTCCCAGATGTGAATGACATTGTGAGTCACTAAATGTCATTAAACTTTCACAAGAGATGTGGTTTTCGTTTTCAATGACCTGACCTTGGATCTCTCTCAAAAGTCGCTCTGTCATGTACTGCCTCAAGGACTGTCGGTGTCCTGGGAGTCCACCTTCCTTTCTTGGGAGTATGTCTGTTAGATTTTTGGAAACTGCACTCCAGCACTTACTCATAAGCGTGACTCCAGCTTTTCACAACTATACTGAACTATTGATGGTACACAGGCTACTTCCAAACCCTTCTAGTTCTTAGGACTTCTCTGAGCCCTCCCTTACTGACATGCACAACCAGCGAGCTTTACCAAACCACTGTTGCCCTGGATTTGTATCCAGAGCTCTAATCTGGTCTAGTTGCACAAAGCAAATACTGCACCTGGAGACAGTAAGAACTACCGATGCTGGAGTCAGAGATAAGGCACTGTGGAGCTGGATGAACACAGCAGGCCCGGCAGCATCGGAGGAGCGGGAAAGTTGACGTTTCAGGTCAGGACCCTTCTTCAGAAAATATTGCACCTGGGTTTTTGACAACTATTTTTTGTTCATCGGTTTCTATATAAACCTTCACAGTTCTAGAAATTCCCTGAGCCCTTCACTTTCCAGTGTTATTCAACTGTTCTAAGACTTTCCAATGCATCAACTGCAAAGAACCTATAGCATTCAGTTGACTAACTGTTAATTATTTTCAGGCTGTTTTCAATCCCTTCACAGCTCCAAAGTCGTCATTGAGCTCTCACAATGCAAAACTATTCAACTAAGACTTTTCTTTGCCCAATTATGCAGAATCCCTGTAGATCAGTTGCCTTTGACAATAGCACCCCTGCCTGATGTGAAATTTAGTTTCTCTCTGTCATACAGACACACACACAAACACTCACACACACACACACACTCACGCACACACACATTCTCACACACACTCTCTCTCACACGCACAGACGTTCTCACACACACACACACACACACTCACACACATACACTCACACACACACACACACTCACGCACACACACTCTCTCACACGCACAGACATTCTCACACACACACGCACTCACACACATACACACACACACACACACTCACGCGCACACATTCTCACACACTCTCTCACACGCACAGACATTCTCACACACACACGCACTCACATACATACACACACACACGCACCACACATTCTCACACACTCTCTCACACACACACAGACATTTTCACACACACACACGCACTCTCACACACACACACACACATTCTCATACACACTGTCTCTCTCACACACATAGACATTCTCACACACACATACACACACACACGCTCACACACTTGCACACATACACACTCACACATACACACACACATACACTCTGTCACACACACACATTCTCATTGTCACACACACACACACACTCACACATACACTCACACACACACACATACACTCACACACACACACATACACTCACACACACACACACACTCTGTCTTCTGTCTCACACACACACTCTCTCACACTCACACACACTCCATCTCTCACACACACACTCTCACGCTCACACACACTTCATCTCTCACACACACACTCTCACACACACACACTCTCATACAGTCTGTCACACACACACACTCACTCACACACACACACACACTGTCTCTCACACACACACTCTCACGCTCACACACACACAGTCTCTCTCACGCACACACACACACTCTCACACACACACTCTCACACAGTCTCTCTCTCACACACACACACAGTCGTGCACATATATTCACACACACGTACACACACACTCTTACACTCACATACACACACTGACACACACACTCTCTCCCTCACACATGCACACACACTCTCTCATACTCACACTCTCTCTCTCTCACACACACACACTCACATGGGCATGCGCACACAGTCACACACTCACACTCACACACACACTCACAGTCTCGAACACACACAGTCTCACACACAAACACACACACACATACTCACACTAACACACACACTCAATCACACACTCTCACATACACACACACTCTTTCACACACTGTCTCTCGCACACACTCTCACACGCACACACTTTTACACAAACACACACATATTCCCACACACACACTCTCACACTCACATACACACTCTCTCACACACAGAGACATACACACACAGACAGTCACACACACATACTCTCACACACATTCACGCACACACACTCTCACACACACACACTCGCATACACTCACTCTCTCACAGACACACACTGACTCTCTCACACACACTCTCTCACACACAAACACACACACTCTCTCTGACACACACACACTCACACATACACACACTCTCTCTCTCACACACACTCTCATGCACACACACACAAACACACTCTCACACAGTCTCTTTCACACACACACACACTCTCTCTCACACACACACTCTCACACTCACACACACTCACACGCAAACACACACACACACACATACACACACGCACACTTCCAGTCTTAATAGCTTTCGCCTTTGAACTCCTCTCCAGTGACACCTGAACTGTCCTTAGAAGCCTATTGTAATTGTTGTAATAGGCTCTGCCACTGCTGCTGAGCAGAAATGTAATAACATTTTGGAACAATCAAATGTAGCAACTTTGGAACTAACTGCATACTGATTATTACAATGTTCTCCTTGTGTTTCTAATTGCCACATTAAACAACAAAAAAGGTTTAGCAGACAAAGGTGCCTTCTGGAGAAACGCAGAAAGTTTGGCAGCTTCCGTTGAGAGAGAAACAGCATCAACGTTTCGAATCTAGTGATGCAGTGTCAGAACGGACAAAGCTGGGAAAGGGTGGTACTTATGCTGACGATGGGTGGTGGGGGAGTGAATAAAGTCCATGGACATGGAGCCCAGAGAGAGACAGAGGGAAAGAAAAAAAGGATAGGCAAACAAAGAAATATCTTATGATAAGCCAAGAGAGTGATAAATGCTCGTTAAGGTGCTAATGAGAAGAATGAATAATTGCAAATGGGTTGGCTGTACAGGAAGCAACCCATACAAAGTGGGACATAAAGGCGTGGGGGTACAGTTACTGACATGGAGGAGGGTGATATATTCTGAATTATCTAACTCGATTTTGAGTCCTCAAGGCTGTAATATGTACCTAGGTGGAAGCTGAGATGTTATTTTTCCAGCTTGCCTGGAGCTTTACTGGAGCACTGCAGCAGTTCTGAGATACTGCATCATGATTGAGTTCACAAGTTTGCAAATCAACTTGAACACCATCTCCACTCTAGAAAGGATGGCCTCCAAGTTCTGCATGCTGTAATGGAGCCCACTACTAAGTAGAGATTAGATTCCTGTATGTACCTTGACATTGACCACGGGCATTCTGTCTGGCTTCCCAAAAAGCCAAGCATTTCACTGGGCAATACTGTCGGCTCTCTTCCCTGGGTGATTCCATCAAAGTCCTCATTTAAGTCCTGATATGGTATGAAACACCTTTAGCAGGTAGGACCTTAAGATGGGTGTTCTAGTCCAGAGGTAGGTACACTGCCACTGTGCCACAAGACCTTTGTATGAAGTTCAATTATGCCAGCTAGAGTGGCAGTGGTACCACAATAATTAGTCCCCAGCCGAGGTAACTAGGTGAAGTGAAGCAACCCAGCCAGCATTTCCACTTTTCTCCAGTAGAACCTGACTGACAGATTTTAAACCTGACACTGTGTTTTATTTTCACAGCACCTGAGATCAGTCAGGCCAGCGGTAGAACCCAATGAGGGATTTTGGGAGCAACTTCAACGATATGAAAGTGAACTTCAATCCAGGCAGACTGGGGCTATTTCTTCAGCCAGTGGATAAATATGTCAAGTAGCACATCAGCCTTTGCTCTGAAATAGTTCCCTTGAGACTTGCTTCACTGATATTAAGAGAGAATCCATACCGAATGCTACTGTCATTCAGTTATTTTGCCTTATGATGTCATCATGATTTCATCTGGTCGTAATGTATGATATCGTCGTTCTATAATGCATTGTGGTCAAGTTCTGCTGATCCTGTATTAGTATCGACCTATTGTAACAAAGTATTCTGGGGCTGGAGGGTTTACACAAGGGACGGGTCATGAGTTTATTGGCCCTTCCAACATTGCACATTAATGTCCATCTCCAGCCTTTTGCCTCCACATTCTTTACACATTTGTCACTTCTCAAACCTGCGCATATCGTTCCCGGAACACCATTTAGAATCCTTCCGATTAAATTTTGACCAAGCCAAAACAGCTCCTATTTAAAATAAAACCCAAATGATATCCTGTGTAAATGTGACAAATTTGCCGAATGTCTCCTCATCCTTCTCAATCTGATTGCAGCCTTTGATACAATGATCACTCCATTATCCACCAGTGCCTGTCCATTGTTATCCAACTAGGTGGAACGATACTCTCCTGGCTGAATACTTTGCTTGCCAGAGAGTCATGTCAATGGCATTTTGTCCTGTCCTGCACCATCACCTCTGTAGTCCACGTATTCTTGGTCCCTCCTAATTCTCATCCAAATGCTGCCTGCTGGTGATAAGAACTAAATCCACATCAGTTGCCAGATATAAACTGACAACACCCACCACTTGGATCGACTTTTTCCATCTCCGTAAGATCGTCTGCCTCAAATTATTGTTTTCTGAAACCCTCCCTCATTGATGACTTTGTTCCCTCTAGACTTGACTACTCTGATTCAGCCTTGCCTGACCACCTGCATTCCACCCTTTGTAAACTCCACAGATCAAAGCCGAACTTGCTGGGTCTATTTTAACTCACACCAACTTTCTTTCACCCTTCTCCCCTGTGCTTGCAGACATTCATTGGCACTCAAGGAATTCCTCAATTTCCGAATTCTCAGCCTTGTTTGAAAATCACTTGATCACCTTGCCCCTCCGGACCTCTGTATATTCCTCCAGCCTCTCCAACCCACCGAGATTATTTTGTTCCTCCAGTTCTGGTGCCTTGTGCGTTCCTGATTTTAATCACTTCACTGGAGGTTTTGACTGGATCATCTTGAATTCCCTCCCTTCAGCTCTCTGCCTCAGTTTCCTCCTTGACATTCCTTAGAACCTAACTCTTTATCTAATCTTTCTATTATTCCTGTGATGCCTCCTTATGCAGCTCAGTGTCAAGTTTGATATTACATTGCTCCTGTGAAGCATCATGTGATACTTCATTGCCTTAAAAGCATGATGTCATTTCAGATTGTTGTTGATGTTACAGGACAAGTGCTACAATATGTTTTAGTTGTTCATGGTGTACTTTGTTTGCCGGAAAAAAAATGACAAACAGAGGTTTTGTGGAGCATTGGATCCAGAAAGACTAAGCTCAAGTCTGACTCTAAGACTCAATGCCCAAGGAAGATGTGTCATAATGTGGCCAAGCAGATTGGAATTAACCTGAAAATCCTTTCAACGCAGGACAGTAGCATAGCTGGGATGGATTCCTGGTCAGACATATTTTGGAAAGGAATTAGGGTTTCTACCATCGCTATCTATAACTCTAAGTGACAATATGCATGTAAACTAGTGTTTTGGCACAGCAGCTCAGCCTCTTTGGAGAGCTGGTTTGGATCAGATTAGCACCAACAGCATAGATTCGAACCCCCTTCCGGCTGAAATGGATTTGGGGACCTTCCGGGGTGGAGATCACAGTATTATCGATCAGACCTGTCTTTGGGCAGAGATTTGAAGAAGGAGAAAACAATAGCTACTTTTGCATCCATTTGTCATATCCTGTTCATCACTGAATTAAAACTCAGGTGACAACCAACTACAAATTCTAACTTACGTTTCCGTTTGGCCACCTTTCTGTCCTTTGGTTTGATTCATCTTGCAATGGTGATAATACAGTGTCTCCCTCTACAAAACTTCAATTACGCAGCACTGCCCACATTTCCTCAGCACTATTGTTGAAAACTAGCATCATGTTTTGTTTCTTGAGTTATTCCTTTTGCAGAACTCAAAAACAATTTTAACTTCTTGCTTCTTCTGCTAACTTGAATGCACCTGCCTTTAAAACTTAACTTGGCATAAATTTGTCATATTCTACCATATATTCCTGTTTGACACAATATTGGTGCTGTCCTGGACCATGTTTCATGAAAGTTTATGTCTGATCCCTCAGCAATTAACTGAAAGTGAACCAACAGGACCACACTATCAAACGCACACTTCTCATTGTTGGCTGTCACACCCTATTTATCAGGGCTACAACAATTTATGATTTTGAATGGCTGGATCAAATTAACCTCTTAACTATCCCTTGATCGAAGAAGAATAATTTCTGCCTAGCCTCTCCACATAAATGAAGCCTCTTACTCTTAGTATCCCTCAGGTAAATTTTCTCTGCCCTCTCACTATTGCCTTGACATCCATCTAAGCTTATATGTGATGCCCAGATACTCCAACAGGGTCCAAACCAATGATATGTAGAGGTTGACCCAAAGGATTTGCAACATCTGACCTGAAAACGTGGATCCATTTGCCTGCATGACTCAAACAGGCCTTTAAAGGAAGGCCAAATCTTCTGATGAGAATAGGTGGGAGAATGTTTAAATTCTTGTGGCATTTCTGCAAGATGGCAGCAGAGTAGGCTCGTCCACGCCATCCGCTCGTCTTCTCTTTTTTTCTTCTTTTCTCGTTTAATTTAAATTATTTTTCTATTAACTTACCGTCTGGAGAGAGGCAGTGGTATCGGGCTGGCTAAATCAGGTGTGTCTGCTAGATGGATAGTGTGAGGTAGTCGCTAGGTGCCTGACCCAGGACTCTGGGTGAATTCCCGATGCCTGGTGCGCAGACTGAAGTCAAGGCCGAGGACCGACGCGTGGACCAAGGCGAGACCTGGCGCAGATACTGCCTGGATCAGGGCTTTGGCGGATCTGAGATCCCAGGAGTGAGCCCAACTTGGCGATGGAGGTTCTCCTGACATCTGCAGTGACGATGAGAGCAGGGGAGACCGAGCCAGCGCAGGGAAAGCGTGCGAAAGAGGAGATCGAGCTCTTGTAGGAAGTGCAGTCACAGCATGGCTAAGCACATAAGGAAACCTGTAATGGTTGAACTTTTAGCTTTATTTCTTGACTTAATACTAAGAAGGACTGTAATGTGTAATACCGTGTGTGGCGACATTAAAAACTTTTCACTGTACTTCTGTACTTGAGTACATGTGACAATAAAGTCTAAATCTAAATCTAAAAATGCACACCTTGATGGAACAATGTGTAAAGTATCTCTCCCTGCTCAGTCCAAGCCTCATTGATGATGTGCAACTGGATTGCTTGGAGACCTGTACCACAAAGGCAGAGTTTCTGTTTGTCATCCGGGAGGAGCACTGGAGTTTGATCAAACTGTGAAAACATCCAGAGGATCCCATTCCTCACTTTCGTCTTCCTCCAGCATTTCCGCTGACCCACCCCCTCCCAACTCTCGACTGATACCTGCCTTGTCTTCATGGTCTTCCACTTATAATGGAGTGGGCTGTATGGTGGTTACTGCTGATATTTTGCTGACTTGGTGCTCATTTAACACCCGAGTTGAAAATCTCCTGAGCGCAGATTCACTGCAGAGACAGCTCCGAGTATAGTAACCAGATAAGGACAGATATAGAACATGGAATGCAAGAGTGACTGACAGGCACCAGCTGTGAGTTGGAACTCACCAGCTACGTTGCTGAGGAATTAGAAAGTTGGATAGGTTACAGGCTGGCCATTCAGGGCAGTGGCTTCGTTACTGAGAGTCAATCTAGTATCAAGTGGAATGTTTTCATGGATTGCGGAGTTGTGCTGGGCTTGCTCAAGAAGATGAAATTCTCCAATTTGCCTTCGGACAGATCCAGAATTCGGTAAAGGGAAAGTTACCATAGTTCTAATCCCTCCTTAGAGAGAGATGGTTTAACCTGATGGTCAGTGCACCTCAAGCAAAGGGAGAGGTTGAGAAGGCAGTACCTTGATGGTAACCTTAACTGGTGCAGGAATTGAACCTGCTCTATTGGTGCTACTTGGCATTGCAAAGCAACCATCCAACCAACTGAGCTAACTGACCACCGTTTTTGAGAATGATATCCTTGGGGGAGAGATGAATAGGCCTATATTCCCTCCAATTTGTAAAAATGAAAGGTGATATAATTGAATCACATTCAATTCATAAAGGCTTTGACATGGTAGATGCTGAGAAACTGTTTCCATTGGTCTGGTACTCTGGGTCTAGTCACAGTCTCAGAATAAGGAGTTGGCCATGTAGGACATAGATGAAGAAAAATTTCTTCACGCAAAGGTTTTTGGAAAATCGGTACTCTGGGGAGAGGTGGAGGATCAGTTGCTGAGACTATTTAATACAGGAATTGATCGATTTTTGGTTGTGAAGGAAACTGAACGCAATACATATAGTGAGAGCAGGTGGCATTGAGCTGAAAGATCAGCCATGATCTTATTGAATGGGGCAAGGGGCCAACTCCTGCTCCTACTTATTATGTTCTCATGTTCTGTTCAACTAAAGCCGGTTGGAGAACAAGTAGGAGAACGGGTTGCTTTATTAGTCTTCATAGGTACGCAACCTGTTAACTTAGACCGGGATCCAAAGTAAGAAGCAAATTTGCAGACATTGCCACACGTAATAAGGAAATGGAGTACAAGTGCCTTACTGTCCATCATCCTCACCCATGCACACCACCCCCCATTTATAACCCCTCCCCACCCTGCCCCACCACCTCTGATATGAATCATTCTAACTCAAATGCACTTACTGATATTTCTGAGACCCCAGTTATGACAGGTGGAATGTGATGACTTTGGAATGGACTGCAGTGCATTGGAGGGTCATTTCCAACAGAGACATGGGGCAGAATGCTGGTGGGAGCTGACTGACCATAAGTCACTGTTGCCTGTCCATTGGGCTTCAGTATAAAGGCTGAGAGGTTGGCTGCCATCAGCTGTACATCTAAAATGATTGTCACACGAGAGATTTGCTTTTCAGGGATATTTGTATGCAATAAAGAGGCCTAAGGGCTTTGGTGGCACAATGGTAGTGTCCCTAGTTCTAAGCCGGGAGGCCTGGGATCAATTCTCTCCTGCTCCAGATGAATATCAAAACATGCCTGAATATGCTGATTAGAACATATCAAACATAAAGGGGCCTCTCCGGCTTCCTATCCACCCCTATTGTTGGTGCACTGCCCCTGGTGGGTCGTGTTTGTATATAATTCATTAATGGTTGATATGTCAAACAACTGATTTGGTGGTGGATCTGTATAAAGAACAATAAAATAGAAGGACTTCATCAATGCTCCAGAGGTCTGTTTTAGTGGACGCTGAGCTGAAAGAAGCAATGTGAGAATGTGGATAAATGATCCTCACAGGCCCAATCTATTTTTAGTTCACTTCAGCTTCATTTGACAATAAAGCAATCTCCCTTCTCAAGCTCATCAGTTGGACAAGTGCAGATGGACAGTTGAAGTTTTAGTTTTTGCATGTCAAATTTTGAGGGAATTGCACTATTTTATAAAATGGAATCAAAGCAAAGTTTGCTCGAAAAAGTAAGAGAAACTAAGAATTTAATGGAATGTGTTAAAATGTTCATTAATGTTCCTTATTACTAAGGAGGCAGTGCTGGGCAAGCTAGTGGGGCTAAAGGTAGACAAGTCTCCTGGCCCTGATGAAATGCATCCTAGGGTACTAAAAGCGGTGATGGGGGAAATAGCAAATGCACTAGTAATTATTTACCAAAATTCACTGGACTCTGGGGTGGTTCCCGCAGATTGGAAAACAGCCAATGTGACGCCACTGTTTAAAAAAGGAAGTAGACAAAAAGCAAGTAACTAGAGGCCAGAGATAGTAGGAACTGCCGATGCTGGAGAATCTGAGATAATCTGCAATGCGCCGGTATCTCCAGATATATCATATTCTACAGAAGCGTTTCTCCCTGCGACTCCTGAAATACACACTTGCTGCAATGCGCCAGCATCTCCAGATAAAAACCTCATCACCTCAGGTGACCTCCCACCTACAGCCTCTAACCTCATCATTCCCCAACCCCGCACCGCCCGCTTCTATCTCCTTCCCAAAATCCACAAACCTGACTGCCCTGGTCGACCCATTGTCTCCGCCTGCTCCTGCCCCACCGAACTTATCTCCACCTATCTCAACTCCATTTTCTCCCCCTTGGTCCAGGAACTCCCTACCTACGTCCGTGACACCACCCACGCTCTCCACCTCCTCCAGAACTTTCAATTCCCCGGTCCCCAACACCTCATCTTTACCATGGATGTCCAGTCCCTATACACCTGCATTCCCCATGCAGATGGCCTAAAGGCCCTCCGCTTCTTCGTGTCCCGCAGGCCCGACCAGTCCCCTCCACTGACACCCTCATCCGCTTAGCCGATCTCGTCCTCACCCTCAACAACTTCTCTTTCAATTCCTCCCACTTCCTACAGACAAAGGGAGTGGCCATCAGTACCCGCATGGGCCCAAGCTATGCCTGCCTCTTTGTAGGTTACGTGGAACAATCCCTCTTCCAAAGCTACACTGGCCCTATCCCCCACCTCTTCCTCCGTTACATTGATGACTGTATCGGTGCCGCCTCGTGCTCCCACGAGGAGCTCGAACAGTTCATCTACTTCACTAACACCTTCCACCCCAACCTTAAGTTCACCTGGACCATCTCTGATACCTCTCTCTCCTTCCTGGACCTCTCTGTCTCCATCTGTGGCATCCACCCGGAAACCGATATCCATTTCAAGCCTACCGACTCCCACAGCTAGCTAGAATACACCTCCTCTCACCCACCTTCCTACAAAAATGCCATCCCCTATTCCCAATTCCTTCGCATCCGCCACATCTGCTCCTGAGATGAAGCATTCCACTCCCGGACATCCCAGATATCCGCGTTTTTCAAGAACCGCAAATTCCCCTCCACAGTGGTCGAAAATGTCCTTGACTGTGTCTCTCGCATTTCCCGCAACTCACCCTCACACCCCCTCCCCGCAATAACAACCAAAACAGAATCCCCCTCGTCCTCACGTACCACCCCACCAACCTCCGAATCCAACGCATCATCCTTCAACATTTCCGCCATCTGCAATCTGACCCCACCACCAAAGACATTTTTCCCTCCCCACCCTTATCTGCTTTCCAGAGGGACCACTCTCTCCGTGACTCCCTTGTCAGCTCCACACTCCCCTCCAGCCCCACCACTCCCGGCACTTTTCCCTGCAACTGGAGCAAGTGCTGCACCTGCCCCTACACCTCCCCCCTGACCACCATCCCAGGCCGTAAGAAGACTTTCCACATCAAGCAGATGTTCACCTGCACATCTGCTAATGTGGTATACTGTATCCGCTGTACCTGTTGTGGCCTCCTCTACATCGGGGAAACCAAGCGGAGGCTTGGGGACTGCTTTGTGGAACACCTACTCTCAGTCGTGAACTATTTCAACTCCCCCTCCCACTCCTTGGATGACATTTCCATTCTGGGCCTCCTGCAGTGCCACAATGATGCCACCCGAAAGCTGCAGGAACAGCATCTCATATTTTGCTTGGGAACCCTGCAGCCCAAGGGTATCAATGTGGACTTCACAAGCTTCAAAATCTCCCCTCCCCCGACCACATCCCAAAACCAGCCCAGCTCATCCCCACCTCCCTAACTTGTTCTTCCTCCCACCTATCCCCTCCTCCCACCTCAAGCCCCACCCCCATCTCCTACCTACTAACCTCATCCCACCTCCTTGACCTGTCCATCCCTGGACCGACCTATACCCTCCCTAACTCCCCACCTACACTCACCTTTACTGGCTCCATCCCCGCCTCTTTGACCTGTCTGTCTCCTCTCCACCTATCTTCTCCTTTATCCATCTTCTATCCGCCTTCCCCCCTCCCTATTTATTTCAGAATCCCCTTCCCCTCCCCCATTTCTGAAGAAGGGTCTCGACCCGAAACATCAGCTTTCCTGCTCTTCTGATGCTGCTTGGCCTTCTGTGTTCATCCAGCTCTACACCGTGTTAACTATAGGCCAGTTAGCTTAATTTCGGTAGTGGGGAAAATGTTTGAATCTATCATTAAGGAAGAAATAGCAAGACATCTGGATATAAATTGTCCCATTGGGAATACCCAGCATGGGATCATGAAGGGTAGGTCATGTTTAATTAATTTGGTGGAATTCTTTGAGGACATTACTTGCATGGTGGACAATGGGGAACCTGTGGATGTGGTGTATCTGGATTTCCAGAAGGCATTTGACAAGGTGCCACACCAAAGGCTGCTACATAAGATAAAGTTGCATGGTATTACAGGTAATGTATTGGCATGGATAGAGGATTGGTTGACCAGTAGAAAGCAAAGAGTAGGGGTAAATGGGTGTTTTTCTGGTTGGCGGTCAGTGGCTAGTGGTGTGCCTCAGGGATCAGTGTTGGGATTGCAATTGTTTACAATTTACATAGATGATTTAGAGTTGGGGACTAAGTGTGGTGTGTCAAAATTTGCAGATGACACTAAGGTGAGTGGT